GTCATTTAAAACGGCAAAACAAATAAATAAAATTAGACGGAGAAGAAGAAAAAAGGAGCGGTTGAGTTGATATTGCCGGCGCGTACTCGTCAACGGAACGCGCGTGGAGTGTCTTCGTGTCTCACTAGAGAAGATTGAGAGTTTTCTTCTTTTTCCGTCGGCGATTTGAGAGTTTCGATTCGAAAGATAGAGATCGTAATCGGGTTATCATGGTGAAGGAGACGGAGTATTACGATGTGCTCGGCGTTAGCCCCACCGCTACGGAGGCTGAGATTAAGAAAGCTTACTACATCAAGGTTCTCAAACCTAATCTCTGATTCTACGATTCTAGAATTCTGATTTTATCTCATCATTTTCAATTTCGGTGATTTTGAGCTAAACTCGAATCTGGGGAGTTTCTTAGTATCGGGTCGATTTGGGCTAGCCACCGGAGTGGTTGATTTTACGGGATTGTATGACTATAAGCTTAAGAGCTCATCAGTGTCTCTGGTGTTTGCATTGAACAAAAGTTCTCTATAGCTTTTAGAGTATTGTAGGTTTATCGATTTTGACATTACAAAATGCTGATTGTTGGCTTTGTTTATATTCCACAGGCACGCAAAGTACATCCAGATAAAAACCCCAATGATCCTCAGGCTGCTCATAATTTCCAGGCAAGTTCAGATTTTGAGAAGTATTGTTTGAATTCGTTTCCAGGGATACTCCTTTTTCTTTAGTTTAAGTCTAAGGCTCTCAGCCTTCTTGGCCTATGATGTTTGGAAAGTATTGGAGTGGTAACCTTGCAGATTCACATAGAGGATGATGCTGTTCCAAGAGATTTGTCTTTCGTGATCTACTTTTTTTTTCTGTGGTGAATCTTTTTTGGAAGAGCTTTTGAAAAATGATTCTTTTTACAGGTGTTGGGAGAGGCCTACCAAGTGCTAAGTGATCCAGGGCAACGTCAGGCCTATGACGCTTATGGGAAGTCAGGGATTTCAACGTTAGTTTGCTTTCTTGTTCTCTCTTTAGTTCAATGGATGACTTGACCACGTGGAATTTGGTGACATGTGATCTTGTTCCCGTTGATAAAGAATTTGGTCGTTTTCTCACTTCTTAATTTTTGGTGTTCGTTCTTGCAGTGAGATCATTGATCCTGCGGCAATATTCGCCATGCTTTTTGGGAGTGAACTTTTCGAAGAATACATCGGGCAGCTTGCTATGGCATCAATGGCGTCGCTTGATATCGTCACTGAAGGGGATCAGATTGATACGAAAAAGATTATTGATAAAATGAGGGTAAATTTATCATTTATCAACTATCCTTCTTAAGAACATCGTCACTTCGTGACATACTATACATAGAGTACAAAGTACCCAGATTCTCCCTTTGTTAATAATTTTCTTAGCATGTTAGATTACTTTTGGTTTCAGGCCGTTCAGAAAGAAAGAGAAGACAAGCTTGCTCAACTTCTAAAGGACCGCCTCAACCTATATGCGACGAACAAAGATGAATTTATTAGCAATGCTGAAGCTGAAGTAACAAGACTCTCAAATGCGGGTAACATGTTCTGTAGCATTTTGTTCCCCTTTCATAGTTTATGCTTTCTCTTTTAATGAATGCCATATCTGTGCTAAAAAGTCAGTCTTATCTCCTTTCTCTATCTACTTTCAACAGCATACGGTGTGGAAATGTTGAACACAATTGGATATATATATGTAAGACAAGCGGCGAAAGAGCTTGGGAAGAAAGCTATTTATCTCGGTGTACCATTCGTTGCTGAATGGTTTAGGACAAAAGGTCACTTCATCAAATCCCAAGTAACAGCTGCAACAGGTTAGTTCCTTACTAACATAGCCGACCTCATCATCAGGTGCCAGAACTTAGTAGTATGGGTTACATAAGGAACAATAAATTCAACCACTAAAAAGAAACCCCAAGTAGCTTTCTAGAATTTTATCTCCTCTCATAAGGACTTTTCTGTCTCTTGACTGTTTTCTGTCGTCCTAGGTGCATACGCTCTTTTCCAGCTGCAAGAGGAAATGAAAAGGCAGCTAAGTGCTGAAGGAAATTATACAGAGAATGAACTTGAGGAGTACATGAAGTCCCATAAGAAAGTGATGATTGATTCTCTGTGGAAGCTCAATGTTGCTGATATCGAAAGCACTCTCTCCCGTGTTTGTGAGCTGGTTGTCTAGCTATAACAGTTCACTATTTGGCTTCTATAGCATTTTTGTCCAAATTCTTTGATTTAACCAGTTTAGTATTATATTTTGTCTTAGGTACTTCAAGATCCCACTGCCAAGAGAGAGGAGCTTCGTGCAAGGGCAAAGGGGTTAAAAACTCTGGGGAAAATCTTCCAGGTAAATTTCCACTCGCATCTAGAGAATATTCATTTGAGAATTAAGAATGAAAGTGTAATTAAAAGGCTCCATCTTTCCGGTTATGTAGAAGAACAAGATAGCCAGTGAGAGTGATCCTTTAGTAAGAGCTGAACTTCACAAACTAAACGGAAATGGTCAAGACCATGTAGATGCATCCAAATCACCAAGATCCGATGAAGCTTCTCACTCTGCATTCGGGCCTCAGGTACAGCTCCTTCCTCATTTTATCCATTCCATTTACCACACACGCTATGTGTATCTTTCAAATCATTCAAAAACCGAAGGAACATAAACTTTACCCTTTCATTACCCCATCTCTCCAACTTTCAACAAAGAAAGACCTTGATTCACACATTTTAAGACACAGCTCCGTCTTTGTATGTGATAGAGTTTCAGGAAAACGGTAGAATAGGATAATCGGTGTATAATTGACTGAGAGTTGCTTATGCTATGACTTCTGAGAGATCAAGAGGAGATAAGATTGATTATGTTACGTTTTTTGGTAGGAACCGCAGAGCCCTTATGTGGAAGCACCGAAGCTTGGAGATGAGCAATTCAACCAGTACTTCCCGAGGCCTGCGCCGCCTCCAGGAGCACAGAGACATTCTTAAAAACTGGCAAAAGGATTCATTCAGATAAGAGTGTGTGAGAGGTAACTTCTCTGTAGTGCTATATAATATTACAGATTTAAGCCTATATATTGCGTTTTGATATATTTGCAGGCGGTGGTAGCCATTATGTAATTTTATTATTGTTATTAGAAGAAATTATTGGATCTTTGGATCGCACATGAAATCTCATCTTTGACAATGTATAATGTTTTTTATTATTTTATTTATATATATGATGTTTGGGATCATGTGATGTGATTCTTATTTTCAATAATATAGAGAGAGAGGACATTGTAAAGCATATATATGAGTAGCTTTAACTTATCTGTCTTCACAGTTTTGCTTTTTGGAGAATCTCTGTCAGTTACTATTTCGACAGTTGGAAAATAACTAAAAAAATCTGTTACACTTGTAGACTTAAATTTGTTTTTTTTTTCTTCTTTGGGAAATAATAAAAACTGTAGGACAAAGACCTTTTAACAAGCTGTTTTGACTTTGGAGCAACATTTTTCATCGCAAATTATTAAATTTATTCTGAGGACTAAATTTAGTATTAGCGGTTAGTACTTATTACTCGATATAAATGTAATTATATCAGACGACGTAAGTTTAGTTCTAGTCCTAGACGTTAGATTTTTGAAAAGAAAATGCATGACGACATTATCGTTATGAGAAGCTGAAATGACGAGAGTACCCTGAAATGAAACGCATTCGGGTAATTAATAAAAGTGTTCCAAAAACGGAAGCATGAGGTCAATTACGGTAAACGACAGGGGTCAAAATTTATTATATTAACAAAAAAATGTTCAGAGTGTTTTGAAATTGTATTTTATAAATAAAATCATCAATGGCGGATGCTTACTTGTTATAGCCAGACATCACCACGAGTGAAGCCAGCCACTGGACGGAGAAGATAAACAGAGACGTCTCCGTGTGTGTGTGTTTTGGAGCGCTTTTTGGCCTTTCTTCACGGCGTGCGTGAAACGGAAATTTCTTCTCCAGATCTCATCATCTTCCTCTGATTTTGATTCCACCATTTTCAGATAATTTCGAGATACAGATCGTTGGTTAAATAACACTCTCGTCCTTGACGGGTCCTGGATCTGATAACCGTTTTGTTGTGATCTGGAATTTGCGTAAGTTTGAATCTAAATTAGTCGGAGATGGAGAAGGCAGAGAACGAGAAGAAGGCATCGGCCGTATCCGACGTCGGAGCATGGGCAATGAACGTTACGAGCTCCGTCGGGATCATCATGGCCAATAAACAGCTCATGTCATCGTCTGGTTTCGGCTTCAGCTTCGGTTTGATTCCTGATCTACGCCTCTCTCCCTCGATTGCATTCAAATTCGATCTCTCGTTCGTTTACAATAACCATTTTCGTTTAGATCTCTTATCAATTTACCAAATGAATCTGTAAAATTGTTTCTCAGCGACGACTCTGACGGGATTCCACTTCGCTCTCACCGCACTCGTCGGTCTGGTGTCGAACGCGACGGGATTATCAGCATCGAAGCACGTTCCTCTCTGGGAGCTTCTCTGGTTCTCACTCGTCGCTAACATCTCGATCGCAGCTATGAATTTCAGCCTCATGTTGAACTCTGTTGGCTTCTACCAGGTAAAAACTTCCATTGAATTTTTTTTGAAATTTAGTATTTTTTCCCAGATTGAGTAAGATCGTTCTCCTGATTGCACCGTGTGTTGTAACTATCACCTAGATTTCGAAACTGAGCATGATTCCGGTAGTGTGCGTGATGGAATGGGTTCTCCATAGCAAGCATTACTCGAGAGAAGTGAAGGCCTCTGTCATGGTTGTGGTTGTAGGAGTTGGGATTTGCACAGTGACTGATGTCAAGGTTAATGCTAAAGGTTTCATTTGTGCTTGCACCGCCGTTTTCTCCACTTCTCTCCAGCAGATCGTAAGTGCTATTATCACCTTCCCTCGATTTTGTGTATGTAGAATTATTTATGAGATCTGAATTTTACAAGTTGCCAAGATATGGATAGGGTCAGTTATCTGATGTTCGAAAATCTGGGGAATAGGTGTCTTAGCGCTTAGAAAATCGTAATGCAAAGTGTTACCTTGAATTTCACTCTTGATGATGATGATGATGATGATGATGTTCAAGTGAGAGTTTTCTCTGTGGAAACAGTCGATAGGTTCACTGCAGAAGAAGTACTCAATCGGATCTTTCGAGTTGCTGAGCAAGACAGCTCCAATCCAAGCTATTTCACTCCTCATCTTTGGTCCATTTGTTGACTATTTCTTGAGCGGAAGATTCATTTCCACTTACAAGATGACTTATGGTGCCATTGTAAGTTTCCATAATCTCCTTTGTCCCATTTATAAAGTTCCTAACTCATCTAACAATCGGTAACAATTTGTTTGTAGCTATGCATTCTTATCTCCTGCGCATTGGCGGTGTTCTGTAACATAAGCCAGTATCTCTGCATCGGAAGATTCTCTGCTACATCCTTCCAAGTTCTCGGTCACATGAAAACAGTCTGCGTGCTAACACTGGGATGGCTTATCTTCGACTCGGAGATGACGTTCAAGAACATAGCCGGGATGGTCTTAGCCGTGGTGGGAATGGTGATTTACAGTTGGGCGGTCGAGTTAGAGAAACAGAGGAAGCCGAAAGTGACGGCGCACGGTAAGAACAGTATGACGGAAGATGAGATTAGGCTTCTCAAAGAAGGCATAGAACATATGAATTTGAAAGACATGGAGCTTGGAGATAGTAAACCATGATACAGAGCTCTCCAATACAAAAGGTTTTTTTTCTCTGGTTTCTTATTTCCCCATCATGTACCCTTTTTGCTTTATATTCTTTGTCTCAAAGAACCTTTTTTAGCCTCTATTTGATGAGCTCTCTCCTCTGCAGAGCACATTCTTTTTTTTCCTATAGATATATGATTCCTCTGCTTCATTGCATAATATACACAATACTATATTTTCTGATATAATCATTTCTCTGTTCTTTCTTGCACTTTGCACTGTATTATGAATCAATCTATATCAGCTTCATTTGTTTTCAACGGGTGGTAGATTCTAATATGGATTCTGTTTGAAAAGAAACAAATCAGAATTCATCTTCTACAAATGCTGTTCTTATATACAGTTGGGAGATAACATGTGTTCTGTTTCCGATCATTGTTTACTATCTCTTTGTTGTAAATAGAAGTTTCTCTGATGCGATAAAGACCACAGTGCGGATATTCAGTCGCAGCATTGTATCATAGAAAACGTAATTTTTTCGTTACAAGACCGTAAAATCCATGAGGTTACAAGCCCTTTTAAACATGCAGAGGCATATCTAGATTCCATTGAGAGTGACAACAACTCTGCGTGCTGTTGGAGCATCACGGTGTTCACATAGCCATATTCCCTAAACCACCAAACATTTCCATCACAAAAGCTTTAAAAAAGATAACTCAACACAAATCATAGATTGAATTGGAAATAAATGGTAGAAGTACTGAAGGAATTAAGATCAACAACATTTTTGAATCAGTACAAAGAATTCTGCACCATAAATGAGGAAAACAGAAACCATGTGAATGTAGTAAATGTAAGGGTCAGATGGAAAAATTAATTACCTGCCAAGTTCCCATGTTAAGTTTTCCTTTCGTTATTGGGATTCTGCAGAGAACAATAAACACTTACTACCAAGTAAAGTGAAAATCCACAAGCTAACAATAAATTGTGCAACACATTAGGTTTCTACTAGTACAGTGCTATAAGATTGTGGCTCACGTGAGTTGACATCCAAACATTGATGATTTGATATGAGCCGGCATGTCATCTGGACCTGCAATTATAATTGACACAATTCAATTCTCAATAGTCAATAAACAAGAAGACTTCACGAGAATCATATGAATTGCCAAAGAAGACCACATTTCAGAGAATAAAAGAAACATCTTTAATTTATCATTTAGTTTTGATGAAACTAACCTTCCATGGTATGTCTCCAAGGCGCAGAATTCCCCTGAAATTCAACCCAAAAAAAAGAAGACAAAAGTGATCAAATTTAAGGACCAGATAAGTGTATTGAGAAGCCAGCTAAAATATTCATACCTCAGGAACAATCCTGTTCAAGAAAGTCTCAGTATCAGCCTGAACATCTGGATCATAATTCTCATTGATTGTGAGAGACGCACTTGTGTGTTGTACTGCCAAAAAACCATTTTCTTAATCGAGAAATGCGAAAAAGAGAGCAGAAGCTGAGTGATTTTACAGAGAGAAGAAGAAGAAGACTCACAGAAGACATGAGCTAGACCACAATTGAAGTCCCTCAAGTCTTGCCCAATTTCCTTCACAATCTATTTCAAAAATATTAACAAAACAAACTGCTCAAGCGATTTACGATTTTCGCGGGAGAGCTGAGAAAAAAACTCAATAATTCTGATTGAAATCGGAATCGCTTCGAAAGAAACCTTAGGAGTGATAAGATGACATCCACGGGGTAGCGGAGGAAGCGTGACGGTTTTCTGAGCCCACTTAGGACCAGATGAAGTCGCCATGGAAGCTCGATCGGTGGCTGGAGTCAAAACCGATCTCACACGTACAGGAACAGCACCAGAGAAGAAGATGGTCGACGAGCTCTGCATAGCTTTCAGTGTTCCTCTAAGCCCAATAACAATGGCCGACAACAAAATCCCTCCTCCAACACCAAACCAAAACCTCGCAACAAAAGGGCCTCTCACTTTCACCATCATCGCCACTCATCTTTCACACTCTTCTGGGCCTTACAAATCTTTTGTAAAAAACGCCGTGCAGTTCAACTCTCTACTGATAATATAAAAAACTACATGCCGTTTTTCTTCAATGTACATTTCGCTTTACATTATTTGATTATTATTACAACAATCTAACATGACTGTCTTGATGAATCCTCAATGATTATTACATACCGGAAAGTTGAGTTTTCCGGCGAAAACTCGACGTTTTTGCTCTTCTTCTTCTTCAACAGTCTCTGAGCAATTCTCTTCTCGGAGTCCGGTAAACACTTAACCGTCGTCTCCAAGAGCGCAGATGCATCCAATGACATATCTTTAGCATAGTAATGAACGATCTTGGGAAACAATATCTTCGTCTCGTTGTGTATACGAACATTGCTTCTTATAAACTCTTCTTTGGCTCGTCTCAGCTCCCGGAAAACGCAATCCGCACTGTAAACACGAACCTAAGAAACAAAAAAAAATGTAAGATATCAAAAATCCATACACTTTAACAAAAAAAAGACAAAACAATCTTGAGTTTTTTACCGGAGGATCTGAAGCAGCTCCTGAAGAAAGAGCGAAATGAGCCAACGCTTCTGGATAGTCCAAGGCGTAAATGTGTTTGGCATTACAAGTTTTCGACTTTCTTGATGGTGAAAACAGAGTCTGCAACATCTGTTTACAGATAATGTCAGTTACATACAAGTCATGAAATGTGGTGAAAATGAATCAAAAAAGAAGAAGAGAGTGTTTGTTTCATACAGGTGGTGAGAAATGAGGACGAATGCCTAAGATTGAGCTTTGGATAATGTGAGGGTTTACGCGATAGCCTCCAACATCATAAGCTGCCTGAGATATATATACAATAGCTTAAGTAAGTAACAGCAAAGACATGTATGAATCGGTCTAAGCCTAAGAGGTTTAAAGACTAAAACCTTTAAAACCGAAGTGTTTCTTGCCCGGTTGTGAGTTCCATAGGCTAAATAGGCCTGCAAAAGAAAGAGAGAGAATCCATAAAAGATTGAAGCTTTAGTCCAAAAGAAGGAACCAATAAGAGGCTAGTTGTTGTTTTTGCTTACATGCATTGTGAGAGCATTGTGAATGTTAATCCAAAACGCGAGCTTCTCTTCACGCTTCATTCTACTCGGATCAACCTTCTCAAGCTTTTGAACTAATGATCTATATTTCAAACAACAAGTCATTATAACGTCACGGAAGCTACCCAAATTCTTGTGTTTTGTTTAAGCAAGTTTGTGTATATATATATATATATATATATATATAATATACCTGAAGTTTTGGAGCATAAGAGCGGCGTAATTGAAACAACCATCATCAATGTGAAGCTTCAGAGACTCTATCACAACACCACGAGGCACTTTAGCTTCTTTGATTTCTCCGAGACACGGGTTCCATCTATCAAAATTGGTTTTTGAAGAGAGATATGAAGGTGAAGAAGAGAAATCCTGAAGACAAGAAGTGTTTCTTGAACTATTGGTGGAGAGTGCACAGTACACAGAAGCTATGCATCTCAAGATTTCTTCAGAGAGCCTGCTCGGATTCACAATGTCATCTACGATATGAGAAGAGCCTAGAAGATCTCCAAGTGTAGTGTGGTTACTAGAAACGCATTTAGTCTTCTCCTGCACAAAATGCTCAAAACATCATAAGTCTTGTCAGATTCACTCTAGGGAAAATGCAATGGTGTTTCTCTTACTCTTGCAGACAAAGCTTTCAAGCTGGCTTGGAAACTCCGAGGACAAGAAGAGGAACGTTCAGATACCGGAGAAGCTTGATAATGGTAGCTCAACACACCGGTGGCGTCTGATTGCTCTGATTTGGGACAGAACTGATTCGACAACAAGCTTGTATCTGTGCGAGGAGAAAAGGAAGAGACTTGTTCATCGAAAGCTGTCCTGTAAAGAGAGAGCAGATATTGCTCTGTGCGCAGGATTTCAAACTCGAGTGAAGCAATTTCCTTCCTCAAATCTTCTGAAGACTGCAACAAAATACACAGAGCCTCTCTTTTTTTAACACTTGCAAAAGAAGAATCTTTGAACATTCAAAGCTTATAAAGATCAAACCTTTGGCATTACTTTGCAATGAGAATCCTTATGAGTTAGTAATCTCTTCTCAATTGATACAAACTGCCATGAAAAGTTACAGACAAATGAGACTTTTTTGGAACCCAGAAAAGGAAAAAAGTAAGATTGAGACAATCCCCAAAAGTTTTTTGCTTTTGAGAAAAAAAAGAGAATGGAATTTATCAAATTACCGGTTTACTACTGTAGGTAGAGAATCTTGAAGGTGAAGGTGATTCAACAATCACATTGTGCTTCTCCGAGTTCCTACGACCAAACCCATTTTGAAATGTTACATTTTTATTTTCCCCCAAATTGATTTCAGACGAAACTAATTTGCAGAAAGCGACAAATGTGAATCTTTTTACCTTGGAGAAGATGAAGAACAATCAGGAGAAGAAGGAGATGAAGCTGAAGGGTAATTTAGACCCATCATTTTCTCGCGATTTTTGTTGTCTGTCTGTAGAAATTCATCAACGAGTCTTACGAGAGAATAGTAAAACTAAGACATCCCATCACTTCACTTCAGTCTCTTGGTAGAGCATATCTCGAAAAGCTCCACCATTTTAGCTTGTCGTGTACTACGTTTATATGACTCCAATAACTTGACAAAACACTTAAAAAAGAAAGTTTATAACTTTCCGGGAAAATGAGCGAGAAAATCAGTAAAGTGAAACCGACATTTTTCCCGGGAGTTCAGACGAAAGTGTTATTATAAAATCCTAAATCAAAATCAAGATTTAAATAAACATCATTTACTCTGTTAATGATGGTTATTGATAGTCTTGTAGGGATTTTAGTACACTAGCTAGTTCAGTGCTCACAAGTCACAGCCAACTACTATGAAAGAATGCAATAAATTTATGTAATGATAATACATGAAAATGCATCAATTATTGAAAACATAAAATATAAGAATATATATGTACTGTATTTTAAAACTCATTTATCATATGATATCATTATTTTACAAGAGCATGTAATTAATGCCGTCGATCTCGAAACAACTAAGTAGTGGGGACAATTTAACACCATCCATAAAAGAGTTGACAATGTGACATCAAATAGTAGTACTCCCGAATATTTTGTGGTCACAAATGAGAAATATATATACGGCCATTGTTACCATATGCAATGATTATTTAACTGTAATTAGTAATTCCTCTGTCCCATATTATAAGCAAAATAATTCCTCTGTCCCATATTATAAGTAATTTGCCAAAATGTATCTGCACAAAAGTGGATCTATCTAAATATAATAATGTCCATATACATCCATTTTTTTGCAAATACATTTTGGCAAACTTATTATAATATGGGACAGAGAGAGTACTTGGTAACAAAAAAATCCCAAAAAGTGTAAAGGACTCCAAATATTTTATAAAATTTAAGAAACAAAGTTGATATACTCACAGAGCAGAGCATTTTATGTATTTAAAATTTTCAGAAAGCAGGTATTTACATTATAGTACATGTACGTAAGTTTGTAAAAGCAAAAACAAAAGTGAGGGAGGACAAGTGAAATTGCAAAATCGTACAGAATCTAACAAGAAGTGTATGACGAGTTATAAAATTCCACATTGAGAAAATTTGGTAGAAGATGGTGAAAGTGGGACTGGTGTCTCATGTTTCACTTTTGGGTTGTTTGTATAAAGACAGAATTAGTTGGATAAGAACAAATAAATGAATAAAAATAGATTGGTGAGAATGAGGCAAATATTATTTACAAATCACACAACCTTCCAAATCAGGTTTCATTTTCGACGTGGTCCGTTGGGTCAGGCCAATAAATGCCTCCAGTTTTGGCACCACCCTTGTATAGTTACATATCGATGTGAACAAAATCTGGAGTTTCGCCTTATGGTCAAAAAAAAAAAAAATCTGGAGTTTCCACTGAATTTAAGAGGTGCAGCTTCCTATGCTATCATTATACAAGGGATCGGTCAGAGTTACAAGATTTGCATATTCTAATATATTTCTTATCAATCCATTATCTTTTCTTAACTCATAAGAACAATCAAGAAAAGGCATTCAATATGAACAAACCAAAAATAGAGTCAAAGTAGTACGTTTTTCTTCCTTCGCAAACAATTTTTTTTTGCCATTCGTCCACACCAGTCACATCCTAGTTACTATCGTAGTAAAGAAAACGGGCCAAATTGACTCAGCTCTGAAACTTGGGGCCCGTAGTGTAAATGGGCTTTTTCTCGCGTCACACGTCAGTTTTCTACTTTTCTAACGTTTTGTTACTTACCAAAAACATCAACCATAAATCGGATTGTTTACTTTACTCTCTTTTCCTTTGAGTCGCTGACTATAAGCTGCAAAGAAGTGATTTTGTAAGTATTCTTAATTAAAATTGTGTAGGATGGATATATATATCAAAGATTTAGAGCCGGCAAATATGACAAACGAAAAGCAAAATGGTCAACCGTGCTTGACCAAACACTGCCTTTCACTGTCACCATTTATGAAGTTAGCTTATTCGTATCCATGTATGTGTCAATGATGATACAAAATTGATATTTATACATAACAAAGTAATTTCATCATTATCGCTTTGTTATTTTGGTTAATCAAATCTATATGAGTGTTGTGATGTCATTAGATAATGTTCTTTAACATATATATATATTCGTTTCTTCGTATTTTTGGTATATCGATACGTATGATGTTTTTATTAAAGTGGGATCTTCCACCATTTTTAGAACCGGAGAAACCTATACTGAGCTCGAAACATGACGAAAGGTAAAAGTGACTAATAATGAAAGTCCACAATTAGTGGGACTTGATCTTTAAACCGTCCGCCATCCATAATTAAGTAATTTGTAAACTTTTTTCATTTAATATTGCATATGGTGATCGAGGATTTAAGATTCGTATAGCATTATATCCACAAGAAATTCCACCTGATATTAGAAAACTCATTGTGCAGCTTTCATATTTCATATTTGAACCGTTCATTTCAGGGTTTAAGACAAAACGGATACGGATAATAGGAAATAACTAGAGAAAAATGCTCTTGGCACACTACAACGAAGTAGCTTATATAATGAATCTATGATGGAATATTATCTTGTTTCGATGGATTTCTAGCGAACACAAATCTGTCAGAATCAAACATTCGTGGATAATTTGTTAGAAATTTTCAGACGGTACACATTTGTCGGTAATTCGTTAGAATTGTTTTTTAAAATAAATGTCTCGGTACATGTAAATTTACATAGCATTTAGATTTAAACAGTAAGAAGAGAGAACCGTGGGGACGAGAGTGCACGTGAAAATTAGACTAAAGGAGATGGGTTGTGGAACCAACTATGTCTATATGTTAGGGTTTATATTGTACCCTCGTGTGCATCTCCCATTTCCCTATACCTTCTCATCTATCCTTCTTCTTTTTAATTATTATCTTCTTTTCTTTATCTAGGTATACATATTACAAAATTAAAATCTTGAAAGTTTTCTTGAGAATCTATAATGGAGAACAAGAAAAATCAGAGAAACAGTATTATCTCACACAAAAGGGGGACAAAAGAACATATCAAGGGTCTCACATACCTTGCTGGATATCACGATTTGCATGCCTCTGTCATTTTCTGGGACGTGGGCTTCTATTTATTTATTTTATTTGTTTTTCTTGATAATTGATATCGATTTTCTATTATCAGTCTTTTGGTACGATGAATGTATCTCAATATTTCCATGACTGAATACTGATTTTCTTTGTTAGTAGATACTTAATTGAAAGTCCTTGTCTACATTCTCTGAACAATACAACACACTATTAAATCAAAGTAGAGCGTGTTTGTATATTATAATGTTATTCGAGACAAATCTTAAATTATTGTATCAAGTCAGAGATTCAAAATAACAAAAAGGGAATGAGTCGAGTGACGATAAAAGAGACAAAGAATTAAACAAAGCAAAGGAGAGCAGAGGTCCCACACAGTGGCACTGAGATTTGGAAACGAACCAGACACCGAAGCTAACACCAAAATCATCGATCCTGTAATTCTCTGTTTGGTCTCAATCGCACATAGCTTTAGCATGGAAGTTCACGACGCACCGTACGTGAAATTGACATGCTGGTCGGGGGTCCCTTGTCATTTTCATAGAATGACATGTTCGTAGTGATCAAAGATAACCGAACGCAATTAAGTGTTTAAGCCATTTGGTGGAAACTGTTTGAATCTTGTTAGACCGAATACGACTAAACGTTTAGATAAAACAAAAACAAAAACTCATTTCTCAAAATGTCAAATGTATATAGTCTATCAGTTTCTGTCTTGAGAAGATGTACTAAACAAAAATTCATAACTCTTAACTCTTTTATGTTAATTGACGGTTCCTGTCAATCTCCAAACTTATTCAAGAAACTTATGGAAGAGTGAGTAGTACATTCTTGTAGTGAACAGCCAATGGGATTTTGGTTATTTGTAACCCTTTTTGTTTAATTAAGGAAAAATGCTGAGAATTAATAGAGTCAAGAAACGTCCACCTTCATTCCCTTTCAAGTTTCAATTCCACCAACCAAAAATATACTTGTTAGCATCATCATTCATTATCTTATTTAAGGCTTAGATAAGTTCTAATTAAGCTCCTATAACTTTTAAAGGTCGTCATCATCCAAGGACCAAGGTAATTAGTTGTTGAGTAGCTATGTCTCTAAGAAAATCTAAATCGTTGGATTTTTGGTGCGTGGAATCAGAGTATTGTCCAATGGAAAAGGTCTTTTGTTAGTACGAACCAATTCACACCTCAACCAAAAGAGTGAAACAACCATTTTTAGTATTTTGTACCCGACGTTTCACAAGAAAAGAGATTAGAATAACTTGGCCATTACATTTTCCTAGAGGAGAAACTATTCTAATTTTGCATATACATATTACTCTATTGATAGTTTTACTTTAATATGCACATGATTTTTTATTCTAAAAGAAAGAAGGAAATTGACATGAACTTATTATAACATACCCACACCATACTTTTCAAGATCTCAAAAGAAATATACTAAGCTCCTGTCCATAACTACCACCAGGATTCATCATATGAAAAGATTCCGAGTCACTCGAACCAGTGACTCGCTCGAACCTAGCCCTCAAATACAGCGTCTGCTCCTCCTCATCCAACGGCACAACTCCAGCTCCGACTGAAACAGACTGCATCATCCTCAAGAAAACGGCGTCATTCTCCGTCACCTTCCTCCTCACGGCAAATCCCATTTTCTTTCCGTTACAACACATGGACCACACTGGAACGTCAAAGATCGACGACGAACGGCTGTTGCTGCTGCTGCTCCGACGACGGTCACACTCTAGGGCTATGCGTAGAACACCGGCTTGGTCCATCTCCTTGGCTAACGCCGCCGTGGGAACAGCTAGCTCGAGGAGGAGAAGCGGTGGAGATCCCACGGCTGCGTCTTGAAGGCAAAAGCTGACTCGGCCACGTCGGTGTCCGAAAAAGGTCCCACTTACGATGGTGTTACTATGAGTAGAGGAAGAGGAGTGGTCTGAAGAGGAAGAGGAGGAAGTAGAGGAAGAGACTGAGACGGTGTCGTTCTGGTACGAAGGAGAAGGTTGTTGGTAAGTGCAGCAATATGGGAGCATGCATTCGATGAGTGATCGGAGAGTTCGTCGGAGACGGTAATCACGAGCGCAATCGACGGTGGTTGGAGTGGTTATGATTTGCAAGTGATGATGATCTCTTTGCTTTCCAAAATCAACCATCGTTCTCATGTTTCTTTTTTTTTTTAGCTAACTTAGAGTTGAAAGTTGAGAGTGAAGTTGAAGAAGAGAATAATGAGTTTGTTTTTGGTGAAGGAGAAGAGGATGTTTGATGGCATATATGTATAGGTGGTGGTGGTGGTGGTAATGCTCTTGGAGAGTGGCGACTTTTTCTTTGTTTATTAATTTCGAATAATGTAAATATAGGAGTATATCTGTATATGCTTTTTTTTTTAACGACATCTGTATATGCTTTATTTCTCTTTTTTGGGTCAAGCTAGTGCAAACTTCTATTAAAGCGAGAAGATCGAGCTTATTTGTATAATAATATCATCTCGTTGTTATCTGTGCATTTAAATCCAGCCACAAAATCATCACGGTTTAAATACTGGGGAAAACCTAAAATATAGACAAGGTATTCTAGTAAGGAATTGACATATATGCATCGACATTTTTTTATCTAATTAAGGAACTATTCTTCATTTTTCCCCCCAGCTTTTAAACATACAGTAGTTACTTCAAAACCTAAAATTACAAATTAAAACCATATAAATTTATAAATTAAATTCACATTTTTCTTGTTCTTGTAACTTTTATGTAAATCCTAATTTCTAGCTTAAAGAGTGACGAGAAAAATAAAACGCAGTGGAGGAAGTAAGGAGCAGAAAGTGGGGTCCATGTGTTCGTATTATAGAAAGGATGGGACCCATTTGTTAATGTAATATCCAATCGGTTTGTTTGGATGGAAGCGAATGGTGCGCGTGCGTCAGTCCAAGTGAAGTCCCACGCCCACTAGACACTTTAATTTTTAGAGAAACCATTTTGTTTTTCATATTCTACTTTTTCATTTGCCTCATAATCAATTGACGTAACTTGACAATAAAATTTCTCTAATCATTTAAAAGAATAATCATCATATAACTCGGGATTTATTTTGATTAACTAACGGTGGAAATTAACACGATTCCAGTGGCCTGCGCAGAATTGTTAGATTAGGTTTTCATGATATTCATGCTTACTCGCTTTTTTAGATAATCGATTTATATACTTACTGCTCAGATGTTTTTGTTCTCGACATTATATCGTTGTAGCTCTGATTTTTCCTTGTCGAGATTTGAATGATAAGCATATAGTATATGGTTCAATGGAAAGAAAAACAAAAAACATATATAATCAGTTTATATATGTGTTTTAAAAGAGAGTAACAAATAAAATCGAATAAGCTGAAATCAAAGTATTAGTTGAATAATTTTCGCTCTCATCTAATATTCTCATCGGAGCATAATATTTTTATTAAAAAAATTAGGGCCCATCGGCGAACTTTTCTAAATCTCCTATATATGCTTTTACCAAGAAGATGAAACATGAAAATAATGATGTAGGGCGTGAGGGCCTAAGAACAAGCATGCATAGAGCAATGATTAAAACCCAATCATGCTCCGGTATTTTTTATAGCATTTCTAAAGATGGTTTATAATATAATCATTGCTTCTAAGTTTTATAAATCGATCCATGATAGTTCTGCGTAATGAATAAAAGTATGATAATGTACATGATTTTTTAACCTAGTTATTAATATTAAAAAAACATTCATAGCATGGTACCTTGAGCAAGAAAATTTCAAAATCATTCTATAAGAGTTAACTGCATGTTTCCTTATTTATATTTGTTTTTGAAGACTTACATATTTAAATAGCAAATAAAAACAAGGTTTGTATATCCACATAAACGGAGTCTAACTTTAATATTCAAAGAGACTAACGTCAACGAAACATTTTACGAATTCTGTCTGTTTTAATTAAAAACGATTAGAATTTAAATCTATTTGGTCTCCTATATTTTAATTGGATGATACAATCTCTTTAGGTTCCACTCGTTTTAAGAACTTCCATGGAACAATACGATTTTTGTTTCAACCACACAAATTTTGATAAACAGTAACTATAAATTAATACATATATATACACAAAAGTAGATAAAAGCATACTGTATATCACATCAGTCTTAGTAAGATTGCATGCAGCTCAATCTCCTGAATCCCTAATCCAAAACAATGTTGATTCTCTTTTCTGACTTTAAATCATGGTGTTCATTGTTTACGTTAATAATAAATTGACTACTTAACTACAAGTCTACAATGGGGTGATTGGCAAGAGATAATGAGAGTTGTAGAACGATTCTAAACTCTTCGTGCTCAATATCTAATCAAGCATGCTTTTTATTTGGCAATTTGTTGTATTTTATGGCATCTACAACTTACAACCAGCTTCTTCTTTTAATTTTATACTTATACATTAAAATCAGGATTATAGGTTTGTTTTTGTTCTAACAAATATATTTAAAGTACTCATTAATAAATAAATATAAAAAAACAAAGCACATACAAGTTTTAAAATATTTAAAATTAAATTAAAAGTTCAGCAAACGAACATACCTATATTTTTGAATATTATAAGAAAAACGAGAATTCAATCATCCAAACAAAATTCTTTACAAAACATTGTTCGCAATGTATTATTTTGCAATCTGAATTTTACTTTTTATTTTAATTTTTCATTTTGTAAAGTTAACAATAGAGATTTAGATCTTAGCACGATTTATGTCATCCTCTTCAAAATTCATAAGATCTACTTACAAGTACTTAATTCTAATCAAACTTTCATGTGTACGCATTAAAATTTAGAACAACTGATACAAGATTATAGATACAACTGAAACCAAAGTGTTAAACTACCAAAATTACTTTTTACACATATAAGTACAAGACTACAACCAATACACTTGTTAACTTATATACTTTCTTAGATTTAGTTTAACGTTTAGCAGAACAAGATAAATGATAAAAACAAACATGTATGAGCATGACACAAAGCTTTGTTATGTTTTGGATCATATGGAAAAAGAAAAAACATCAGCACTTTTTATCCTTTCACTGAAATTGTCGGCTTCCATATCCAAGTGTGTTGTTGTCCACTCTTTCCACATAACAGAACTTACTGTTACACATTTTTATTAATATAACAGATATATCTCCAAACATAATCGCAGAATCAAGAAAATTCATTGACATCCATTACCTTCATTGTTGTGATTTGCGGGAGAGACATCAGAAAATGGGTTCGATCATTAAACAATACATCAGAACATTATTTTTATCTCATAAATGGTCATGCATCATGAATCAATAAGCATGATACACGATGAATTTAAAAACTTTGCTATGAAAGATACTTTTAAAATTTTACTACCACATAAGTCGTATTTTTAGGTTTTTTCTTTTCAGTAAGTATCGTCTAGCAAAATTCTGTTTATAAATATTATTAAAAAAAAACCTAAAGTTCATGTGGCTTGTTAGACTAAAAATAAAAGAACCGTTCATATATTTAAGTGATTTTTTTTTTTGATGCAAGTGACTAGATAAGATACCTTATGGTTTCGGTTGTACATGACCTACTTAGATTCTATGACAAAATTAATTGAATTTGTGGATCCATCACTTATATAAAAAAAGACTCGTTTCTTTCTTTAGTTTGCCTTATCATAGTGTACATTATTATTAATTGATTATAGTGTTTGTTATAGTGTTAGATGGCTATTTATTAATTGAGAGGTAAGCATGATTTAAGTGGCTTAGTCAAATTAGCGGCATAAATTGAAGAAAGGGGAACATGCTTTAAAATTGTTGTGATTGAACCACTTATGTTAATTCTACTTTCTCCCTTATGTAGCTTTGTTGTGTATAATAATTAATATTATCTACACTCTTGATCTTGGATGATCAATATAGCAATATGTGTAGAGCTAGTAGCTTCATATTTATAAATAGCATATGATTAGTGGGCAATACCGCAATAGTTTAAGCTTTATATGTTTATGAAAATATAATGGCTTCATGATGGTTTAGTCAAACATAAAAATTGGCTTCATGATGGAATGGATTATTAAACGTTTTTGTGCACTGAGCTATAGTGGAATCTAAATACACACTGATCAATAAGGAAGGTAACTACAAGGATCAAATACATAACAAAGCTTTATTATATATATGAAACAAGGCACTTTGGAAAGAAAAAAAGGCGTGTGGAAGTTAAACGTGCCCTCTACTTCCGCTAATGTATGTGCATAAAGGTTCCAGTTATGTGATTTTCGCTTGTTTGAGCAGAAGATGGTAAATACATAACTTCTATGGGCCTATGTGAGGCCCAACAGTAGAATTTTGAATTTTGCAAAGCACAATTCGTACGCAGTCAAATTAGCGCGTAAAATATATGCATACACACAGAAGGAGCATATATCTAAAATTCGTCATTTCGTTGTATGCTGATTCTTTTGAAAATACAGACTATAACGATTATAAGGTTATAACAAAAATGTCTATCTATACATGTGAAGGCTAGTGACTTGATATATGTACATGTATATGATAAAATTATCACTTGCTTACTTTTACGACCTTTGCAAATTTTTGAAAGAGGGTTTTATTAATTAAGGTATGCAAACGATACTATGAGTCAGATCTTGACAAGTTCCCTTATCCAATTGTGGTTTTCTGTTTCCACTGCGGATAATTGACGTTTCGAGTTCTTTGAAACCTTCATTGTTTTCAATATTCTTCTATTCAATTTTGATTATGGTTCAAGTGGGTTCATACCTGTCAAATTCTAGTATTTTATACAAATATGATAAATTGAGATCTTAACAACAAATCAAAGGTCCAAGAGAAATATATCCCAATCTTGACGAAATCTAATGATAACTACATAACACATTGAAATTGACGGGGATGTTGAAAATGAAACGCCATTTTAAAATAAGTCCGCATTAACTAAGCAATCACTCTTTTTTCCTAAATAATTTCATAATTAAGATATTTCATACACACTCATGTGTTTATATTAGGGGTTATTTGAAAAATACCCTATTTATGTTTAGATATTCTTTAGTCTTTTTTATTTTTTTTAAAACTACATATAAATCCTAATCTCGATTATAAATTCTAAAGGCTAAAATCT